GGAGAACCTGGAGAGGGTCCAGAGGAGGGCCATTCATATGTTTGAGGTCCTCCGTGGCCAGCCCTATGAGAAGAGGCTGAGGGACATGAATCTCTTCAATCTCCACAAGAGAAGACAAGATTCTATGATTCTATGACTACTGTTTTGCACCTGCCCAAATGGAGGGGCTCTGATTATCAGGGATTTTATCAAGAAACTTCTATCATGGTCAGACCACGAACTCTTGTCAGGGTGATGGACCAGTTAGGCTGGTCTTACCCTGAATATCCATGGCACCAGTGAGATTCCACAAGTCTCTGGATGACATTTCCATTGACCTTGATGGCTACTGTATTGATGGCCTGGTTGATCTGCAAGAGAGCACACTGGCCTTGACCTCTCAACATAGTGGCACCCAGGTGTTTACTCCCACTTTTGTGGTGGCACAGGTCCTCCTGAGGATAGGCAGTTAGAGCACAGGTGGCTCTCACACTGAGAATAGTGGTTACTCATTATTACATTCATCAGCCTGGAGCTCTGTTGCAGCTCTGGACTGGCTCTCTACAGCTTTACCACTCTGGCTCTAAGCTTACCTCGAATGTCTATATCTCACAATTGCTCCAAGTCAGCTACCTGCCAGTTTGCAGTTGTATAACATTATCTTCTCTTCACTTAAGTAACAAGGGTTAGAGTCCTGTTACATGGGTATTAATAGGACAGCTCTAAACAATTCTGCTTTCTCTTAGTAGGGCAGTCCTAAAGGGTGGTGATGGGTGCATGTTCTTCATCCCCTCAGACCTTTTCTGTAGGATCCCATAGGGGTCTATCTTGTGGCCCCTCTTATATATGAAGCTGCCAGGTAAGATTGTGTGGAGATTTGGACAAAGGTGCCATTAGCATGCCGATGCACCCAGTTCTACCTCTCCTTCTCTTCTTACCCTGTTCCTGTAGTCTTAGTCCTTTTCCCAGTGTCTAGCTGTAGTTGAGGACTGGATGTAGGTGAACTGAAATTGAATCCAAAGAGGACAGAAGTCATCAGGGTGGACAAACCACCCAATTCTGTGGGGACCAGGACACCTATCATTGATGGGGCTCAGCCTCCTTTTCTCACTCATCTTTGCAACTTTGGGTTGCTCCTGGATCCTCTGCTCCACCTAGATCTTCAGGTGGCAGCTGTGCAACTTTTACTAATTCTATCTAATCAGAAGGCTGAGACCTTATCTTTCAGTCTCTGATCTGGCTACTGTTATCTATGCTTTCCATAACCTTAAGGCTAAACTACTGCAATGTGCTTCCGGATAGTGAAAACCATCTGGAAACACATTGTTTTTCACCATCTAGCAGTTGCAGCTGGTGCAGAACATGACAGCTCACCTTCTGTCAGAGGTAGGTCACCAGGCCTACACAACTCCAGTGCTCCAAAGTTTGCACTGGCTCCCAATAGCTTTTTGAACACAATTCAAGGTGCTGGTTTTGACCTATAAGGCCTTAAATGGTCTGGAACCTGCATGCTGAACAGATTGCTTTCTCACTGTCAACGGTAGGTGCTATAGGGCTTGTGCCCTTTCTGAGATCACGTCTTTTCTTCTGCTACAATGGGGTTTTATATCACCTTTGACCGCTCCCTGCTGGCACAAAACTGACCTGCCACAACTTTGATGGTAAGTATACTTGTTTTTATTTATTACAGGGTTGTGTACACACTTTCCTCAATGGGAGGATGTTCACTATGACACAAGGCAGAAGATTTTTACCAACGTGAAAAATACCCAACAGAAAAATTGGGGCTCCAATCCCCTGCGCTCCAGCCTGACACCTAGGATTCCTTTCAGGATGTTAAAGAAAACAAAACAGCCCCAAAAAATTAAGTAAACAAAATAAAGTCTAGTCTGGACCAAAATATAAGTACACAAAATAAACTGCTGCTTTAACTGCTGCCTGTGGCTCTTCTTATTTTTAAACCTATATTGATTTGTTTTTTTCTGAGTCCCAGTCATTGCCAATGGGCTGCCATGCTCTCTGGCTAGCCTCTAGTATGCGTCTTACCCAATCGTGGAGCTCCTCTCAGCTGCTATTCCCAGCTGTCACCCACAGGCTCAACTCTCCCCCATCCCCCTGGTCCCTGGGACTCTTCCAAAGCCTGCTTCCCAGCTGTTTTCCACACTCCTCCCTTCCAGGGTATGTCTGCTCCCTCTTCTCCCTCCTGGGCTCTGGCGTCAGTCTCCTTTTTTCTTCTGGACATGCCCCCTGGGCATTCCCTGCCTTGCCACTCTTCCTGGCATCTCCCCCTGGCTCAGGGATGCTGGTATTGCCCCCCAGCACACGGCTTCTTCCCGCGTTGCTCCCCAGCATGGGGCTTCTCTCCCTGTCTCCTCAGCTTGGGGGTGCTTCAAGCCAAGCTCTGCAGGTTCATCTGGAGTTGGCATTTCCCTCCAGAGAAAACAATCTCCTGCCATGGCTTTCTTTCACACTTGCTTAGGCTCCATTGTGACCTCTAAGGACAACCAAGAGAAACATCTTAAAAGAATCATAAATACGCCATGCATGTTTGGCCAAAACACGTAGGATGTTATTTTCAGCAGTTGCTACTCAGCTCTGGAACCATCATACTCCTAGTCTTGCCAGAGCCCAAACCTGGACAGTTTTTGGAAGGCCCCTAAGAACTTCCTCTTTAGGCAGGCATTTACTAAGCAAAACTAGGATGAGATTCTGTCTATGGGTTCTCTTTCTTATCCTAATTATCTATTTCCCTTTTCAGTTGTTTTGGTCTTATTGCTCTCCTGTTCTTAAGTCATTCCTTTTTCTTATTGTAAGCTGTTCTGCATCTTTGTTGAGAAGGGCAAATATAAATAAACAGACAGACCATACTCTCTCACAAAAAGTGCATAACTCCATGAAAGCTGTAGGGAAAAAAAACAGGAGTAAAAAGGGTTGTGGCCCTGGTTCATATAACCTAACACACTGGAAGCCAAGGCAGGAAGATTTCTGGGGCCAGAAGGAGGGCAGGTTAGGTGAAGTGTGGTTTCATGAGATAACCCCTTATCTCTAGAAGAGTGAAGTCTGTGAGCTCCTGCTTGCTAGGAGTCAGGACCAGAACCATGATCCTCTCCCATCTCACTGAACGTGGCTCCTTCTCACTGATGGGTAGTTCCCATCTCACTGAACATGGCTCCTTTTGGTTTGTTTGCCTACTACCTACACATAATATATTCCATTTTCAGCTCTAGAGAGGAACAGGAGTTGAGGCACAACCCTGAGCTAAGCATTTCCTGCTGGCTATCTTTGTGTTGCTCCCTGCTCAGGATGTGAGTCTTTGTGGATCACTTTAGAGGCATCTGATTTTCTCTCTACCGTACTGAGACTTTGAATACCTAACCCATTCCTTGGGACTAGCCTCCTAGGATCCTGTGCATATTTTTAAATTATGCTGAAGCATCAGTTGTTACACCATTTGATAATAAGAAATAGAGTCTACATTGCTGAGGCTAAGGTGGAAGCCAAGTATTGGTGACACAGGAAGGATTCAGTGGATATTCAGAACAAACGTAACTCACATATCAAAAGAGGGAGCAACTTAAACGTTGATCATTAAAAAAATTAGTTCATTAGTATGATTCAGAAGGGGTATCTTTAGCTGATCTCCTGTTATTCATTCAGTCTGAAATACTCAGTTCTGTCCTTCTGGTATGTAAGGGTTTCTACAAACTCAGTAAATTCCAGGTTTAATAAGTTATTGATTTTTTGAATGACCAGTTTACATATATGTAGCTTTTATGAATTATACAAAACCATTTTTAAATTAAACAAATTATTAAAATAGTTATTTCTAGTCTGCCTTATTTATTTTTCATTACCTTCTTCATCTTTGCCTATTGATGTTCCTGCTTTGTCCTCCAATGAAAATGTAGGATAATCATTAAGAAAAACAATATATGTTCTGTAGAAACATAAGTGTGATGGATCTTATGTCTCCAGTATTTTCTACTGGTTTTAAAATAAACGTGTGTCATGTTTTGGTTTGACAACTACTATCTACATTCTGGTGTTGCTTATAAGTAATTGCACTTCTAATGTGATAATAATTGATAAACAATCACAATGTAGTTTAATAAGCAGTACATTGCTGTAATTTATATTATGACACTGCAACAGAGAAAAACACTTTAATTCAAAGGATACTTGGTTACAATATCACCTTACTTTTTATTTTAGTTGATTTCTATTAGCTATTTTAACCATCAAGCATGAAATCATTTGGCTTAGATATCAAAATAATTATTAAAAATGTCAAACCCTGGTTAATTTGCCACTCAGGTATAATCAGCTCTCTTAAGTGCAAGCAAATACAGGTATTGATTGTGTGTATGATTCTTTTTTGCCAAGACAAATGATGCAGAAGACATTGTGGGTAATTATACATATCCGTTATTAAATCTTACAAGAGATATGGAGACCAAATTAATATTAAGTGATCACAGGATGCCTATGAAGCCATTTACGTGCTGTAGCTCTGAAAAACACATGCAATCCTAAACTGTATCAGAAAAGTGCTTCCTGTAGAGATAAGGAAGTACTCAAGCTGTTGTATAAGGAGGCACTGGTAAAATCTCATCTGGAACAGTTTGCATAAATCTGATTGCTTATGTTCAAGGAAGATGAAATCAAACTGGTCAGATATAGATAAGGTCTAATAACATGGCTGAGGAAGAGAGAGACTGTCTTATGAGAGAAGACAAAGCCCAGCAATAGAGATTTTGAAAAAGTATATGAGAACTATCTATAAATACATTAAGGGCATAAACACTGGGGAGTTATAAAAGCCACTTACTTCAAAGAACAATGTAGACCCATAATGAATTGAGGATAAACCATCTGTGAATGCATGTGAGCTGGAAAGTTTCTAACCACCAGAGGAGGTAGAAAGCACCTTTCAGTAGGAGTGGTGAGCCCAAAAGACTAATTAGTTTTAAGGTAGACTTTGCTAAAGTTATGAAAAGATGAGAGTTTTATTGCTGTGTTTGCTCTAAGGGAGCTCCAGTACTTGCCGGATATGACTCAGTGCTGTTCCAGCTTTGCTTACCTTCTGTTAAGATAATGTTTAGTCTAGTGTGGGTTTAATGGATCTAGAGACATTAAACCAGAGGGACAGCTGGAAAAGGTAACATGTAAAGGCCATAGAACCTTGGCTAGTTGCTTTAAACTGCTATTCTCTGTTTATCAGAAAAGAATGACAGAGCTGAATGAGGAGATGGTTCATACATTATTACCTGACTCATCTAGGCTCATAGGGAAAAAACAAACAGTGATTCGTGGAAGCTTATATTGATACTAGGGATTTATATTTTGTGTATTGATCTCCAAAACCTTTACCAGTTTGGATACAGACAATACCAATAGATTTCTGTTTCAGCTCAGAGCTATTAATTAAAGTAATTGGATTAGAATACTACTCACTGGACATGCCAACATGTGCAATTAATTTAATGGAATAAACTCTGGTTCTTATTGCACCAGTTTATTGCTCCTAGGCACCACATTTACATGTGTGCCCAGGCCTGCAGCACATTGAGCTGGGTCGTAGGAGCCCTGGCTGGCAGAAGACGTGGGGGGTCAGCCGGCCAGCCTAGGGCTGCCCCAACCTGGCTCAACGTGTTGCAGGGGGGCTGGCTGGGGCACAAAGTGCTCCAATGTAGGGCTAGCTGGCAGGCAGCTCCCACACTGAAACACCCTGGTGCCTCAGCTACCTCTTTCAGTGTCTACATATGCAGTGCTGCAGAGTAAAAAACTCCGCAGCAGGATAGTACTTGAATTTACAAGTACTACCCTGCTGCAGAGTTTATTATTTTATTCCAGCCAAATAGCCCTGCACATGTAGATGTGAGACATTTACTGTGGAGCTAATTAGGCTATGCCATGGTAAATGTCTTGTATAGATGCTCTTACTGTGGGAACAGAATGGTTTGATGACACCGTTCTGAAGTGCCATTTTTCTCAAGTTTTAAATGTTAAGATGACATTCACAATACATGTTATGGTCACAGAATCAAAACTGGGTCACTATTTCTGAATAGCAATCTTGGGAAAGGGATGTATATGTTGTAAAGTGTAGAGGTATAAATATGATATTGGAATGTTATATTGCAGCAATGTCAAAGATATGCTCTACAGGCCTAATTTAGCACATGGAGTCCTGCCATCCAGTCCCTAGTGCTGCCCATGGGTCTCAAGGTAGCCTGCAGCATGGGCTGGATGCCCTCACATACCACTTGTGTCTTCTCCAGAACTGCACTGCATGTTCATTCCATGCCAGATCCAGCACACATCCCAGAGCAG